CATGAGCCTCTCCCCACCCCCAACTCTGCGCCCTAATGGCAGCGGCCATCCGCAAAGGATGCAGTCTGTGGGACGTGCACCCCACTGTCTGGGCAGCCTGAGGAGCCTGAAGGCCAGCTGGGGCCTGGGCGCCTGGCCCCCTCAGTGAGGTCAGCTGTATGGGTCCGAGGGCCTGGCCCTGAGGGAGCCGCCACCTGAGCTCTGCCGCCTCTCAGCAGGACCTGGACCTCAGAGGATGAGAGTTGTGCCTTGGGACCTCGCCCTTTCTTGTCAGAACAGAAAATAACATTGATTTGGTGGAGGTTTACAGGAACATCGTTACCTGACCTTGATCTGACTTCAAGAACAAAAGATCTGAAACCAAGAAGTGAGCAAACAACTAACCATGCCCTTCCTGGGCGTCCACAACTAATCCTGCCTTCCCTTCCCTGGGAAAGGATTTTGCTGAAAGCTTTTGGGGAGTCTGAGGCTTTTAAGGCGTGAGCCACCCATCTCCTTGTAGGGCCCCGCAATAAACCTTTTTGTTACAGAGCCCAAGCTCATGCTGCTCGCCGCCTGACAGGCCAGTAAATCGGGAGATGAGCTGTTGGAACAAGGAACAACGACTTTAATCGGGGAGCTAGCAGATGAGAAGGTGGCAGACTCGAGTGTCTCGAAAACCATCTTCCCCCCGTCCAAATGAGGGCTCTCCTGACACATGTCAGCGGCGGGGAGGGGCCACTGTGCTGCTGACCAGTGGCTGGGCCGGGCAGCCGACAGCCGCTCACTGAGGGTCCCTTGCTTGGGCGAGGGGCCCACTGTGGCGCCTCCAGTGGCTGAGCAGGCAGCTCCAGCTCCCGCCTGCCTCGCTGCTGTTTCACCCTGAGAAGAAGGGTGTGACTCCTGAGCGAAGCCAGGTCTGAAGAAGCACCAGGCTGCTCTAGCAGCGTCATCCTCGGGTACTTGGTGGAGCTAGGTGTGAAGACTTTGATCTTGGTGGTCAAGCAGAGGTGGTTGACCTGACCATTACTGGGTTCCCTGTTTGAGGTGGCAGGTGGCATGGGCTCAGCCTGCTACTGGCTTCAGTGGTCAGCTCGTGACCGACGAGGTGGCCGGAAGCTGGTGTCCCCAAAGCAGAGCTTCTGCCTGCCTGCCTGTGCAGCATGTGGGTGGCTGACACAGGCTGGTCTGGTGGGCTGGGCACAGAGAGGCGTGGTGATGGGAGTGATCCCTGCACCAGGGAGGGAGTGGGGAAGGGCCCACCGTGCCTCGGGTGTGGTCTGGGGAGGCCACTATTAACACTTCTCTGCTCCACACTCCAGCGTTTTGGTATTTGGCCTCACTGTGTGTGATACACAGACACTTGCATTTGATGACAGTATCATCCTACAGGTCTCTGAGACTATTCCTCTTATTTCTCCATCCTCCCTTTTGATATCTATGCTTAATTTTGATTAAATTTTTATTGCCATGTGTGTGTAAATTCTCTCTCATTTTCCCCCTTCTTTTGCAGTGTCTAACCTGCTTTGAATCCCATTTTAAATGATATTTTCATTTCAGCTACTGTATATTCTTAATTTCCAGAAGTTCCATTTGGTTCTTTGAACTAGCTTCCTTTTCTTTCATTATACCTGTGAGTTCCTTTAATTCTTGAACATAGATATAGCAGGTTTCATGTTAGTATCTGAGAGTTCCACTGTCTCTGTCATTTCTTAGTGGGTCACTATTTTTTTATGGTTTTCCCTCCTAATTATGGGCCACATTTCTCTGCTTCTCAACTGTTTAGGAAATTTTGATTAGATGTTATGTATTGTGACCGCTACATTATTGAGGATCCATGGTTTGTTGTGTTTATTTAAAGAATGTTTGGCAAGGCAGTAAAATCACTTGCAAATCTCATATCCGTAAGGCCTGCTCTTAAGCTCTGAGAGGACAATGTGGTGTAATAGTTCAGCCCCCTACTAAGGCCTGCTCTCTCTGGGGGGTCTACTGAATGCATTTGGTGAGTCGCTGAAAACACCCCAACTCTGGTGCTCGAAAATCTTCCTCTTTGTGTAAACTTTGCGAGTTGTTCAAATTGCAGTTTCCTGGTTATTTTGTGCCCTCCCTTAGGGAATTTCACTCACATGTGTGTGACCCAGAACTTAGGACATTTCTGGAGCTCTCTTTCTATGGGGCTTCCCCTTTTTCAGTACTCCACCCTGCAACTTCCAGCCACCTCAGCCTCCCTGAAGTCTGATCTTCCTTTGCTTCACTTCCCAAGACTGCCAGGTTCACTTTGGGTTCCTCTTCCCTGTAAGGGCTGGCCTGGAAGTTTTCTCCAGGCACGAAGTTGCAGTGATCGGAAGAGCGCACCTTGTTTGTTTCCCTTGTCTGAGGCGTCACAGTTCTGTGCTGCCTTCTGTCTTCTGAAAGTGACTGTTTTATGTGTTCTGTGCGGCTTCTGGGAAGAGGTCAGGTCTTTGCTAACCTACCCTCGTGGCAGGTGGAAACCCCAGAGATTCAGTGAGACTGACCCGTGAAAATAATTCTCAGTAACTGAACGCAGTTCCACACAGCATGCCCACCTGTGTTGGAAAGAGAGCGAAAGGCAAATTATGTGTGTTTTTGTGTGAAGCACAGCTGTGGTCATGCCCCTCGTTACTTGCCTTCCCCACTGCCTGGGGCTGTCACTGATCTCCGAGGAGTGGTGAGCGCAGCTCCATGGCAGCCAAGTGGTGCTGGCGGCCCGGGTGCTCCTGGGGCTCCGAGGACAGAGACTGCTTCCACTCTCGGTGCTCAGTGGGTGGCCTCCTGCTGTGGGCCAGCCTTTACTCTTGGATCCAGGCTTCCCTGGGGGCTCCCATGGTCAAGCGTCTGTCTGCAGTGTGGGAGACCCAGGTTCGGAAGATCCCCTGGAGAAGGAGATGGCAACCCACTCCAGTCCTCTGGCCTGGAATATCCCATGGACAGAGGAGCCTAGTAGGCTACAGCCCGTGGGGTCGCAAAGAGTCGGACACGACTGAGCAACTTCATTTTCTTTTTCACTTTTTACTCTTGGAGAGGCCTTATAGTATGCTCTGCAGTTTAATAATCACTTTTGAGTCCGTATGGGAAGTCTGTGCTAATAGACCACTGAACATCTGAACCAGTAAGACATTGATGCATGGATTGAAGGAGCCATCTGTGAAACAGCGCAGCTTGCCAGATGATCCGAAGTGTAAAGGCATGTGGAGGGAAGCTGATCTGCACAGGATTCTGCATTTGTGAGGATGTGATTCCTCCTTTGTTGCTGTTTCATTGATTAGTCGCTAAGTTGAGTCCAACTCATTTAGACCCCAAGGACTGTAGCCCACCAGGCTCCTCTGTCCATGGGATTTCCCAAGCAAGAATATCGGAGTAGGTTGCCATTTCCTTCTCTAGGGGATCTTCCCAACCCAGGGATTGAACTCACATCTCCTACTTGGCAGGTGGATTCTTTACCACTGAGCTACCTGAGAAGCCCGGTTCCTCCCTTACTGTTGAATATAAGGAGCCCTATGATTTGAAGTGGATTGTTGGTGAGCCGTAAGGAACATTAGGGTCTTGGGTAGACGCAAGACTTGGCTGCCGATAGTTCAGCTGAGAAGCAACTAGATCAAGAAAAACAGATTATTTCTATCTGTTTTTGGTCAACACTTACTTTAGACTTACTGGTAAAGATCTAAGCCCTTTTTCAGCAATCATGAATAGTGCCAGCTATGGACGTTAATTTTCTTTTCTGTTTGATTGTCTGTTTTCAGTGACTCCTAGTCCTTCACCCTCCCCCTGGCTGACCCGCACGTGCTACAGACGCCCTCGGTGCGCTGTACAGTGCGCTGTGATGGCTTTGATTTTTTTGTCCTCAAAATGCTGTTCAAAATGCTCAAAGATGGTTTTCTCTTTATATATCTATTTTTTAAAATGCAACTCGAGGAGTACTGATGGGATCTACTGCTGTCTAAGGAATTCCCTTATAGCTCAGTCAGTAAAGAATCTGCCTGCAGTGCAGGAGACCCAGGTTTGATTCCTGGGTTGGGAAGATCCCCTGGAGAAGGAAATGACAACCCAATCCAGTATTCTTGCCTGGAGAATCCCATAGACAGAGGAGCCTGGTGGCTATAGTCCATGGGGTTGCAGGAGTCAGACATGGCTTAGAGACTAAACCACCACTGCTGCTATCTAGAAAATTTAGAAGTTAATGAATTTATGAAAAAAATGCTTAATTTCATAAAATGCAACATTGAAGAAGAGGTTGTTTTGCGGGGGAGAAGGCTATCAAATTTTGGTTGAAATTTTAAAATGTTAGTATTTTCAGTGTTGGCAAGAAACTCTGAATTTTCAGAAAACGTTTGTATTTATATGAGCTTTCTGAAGATAAGTTGGGTAGTATACATCAAAAGCTTTTATATTCTGACTCAGTAATATTGCTTCTAGGAATTATTTTTCTTAAAGTTATTAGATGTGCCAACAAAAATGCAGGTAGAAGGGTGTCTGTTGCAGTATTATTTCTAAGCATAAGATATTAGAATATCCCTGACTCTGTTAACAATGCAAATGTTTTTTATTTTTATCATTTTCCAATTGTAAAGTACCATGGAACCATTATGAAGAGTATTTTATCATGTGGTAAAATGTACATTTGAAATAAGCAGTTGTCTAAAATGGAATATAGTCTTACATTAACTATTAAAAAGTACATGAAAGAATGGCCAGAAATATACCAGGTTGTTAAAGTAACTGTTCCTACGTGATAGTTTCATGAGAAGTTGCTTTCTTGTATGATTTTTCTGTTTTCTGAAATTGGAGTGGAAAGCATTCCTGATACGTGAAAGTAAACAGGGTGTTTGTAGCTGCATTCTTGACTCACCTAAGGCTTTTCTAGACCCTGGATGGGCATCTCAGATTCCAGAAGAGAAGCCAAACCATTAATCTCTAGTTAAAACTAGTTGCTGTTTTCAGGTGAGATGAAAAAGTTCTTAAAAATTAAAAAAAAAGAAAAAATTTCTGTGCTTACTCTTCAGATAAAAATTTTGATGATGAAGATTCTGTGGATGGTAATAGACCTTCTTCCGCCAGCTCTACGTCGTCCAAAGCTCCAGCAAGCTCGCGGAGAAACGTTGGAATGGGGACTGCCCGGAGGCTCGGCTCCTCCTCTCTCGGATCCAAGTCTTCAGGTAGGACCAGGCCCAAGCGCAGTGCTGCGTGGTCCGCGGTGCGGCGCTTAAAGCAGGTGCACTTGCTGCTCGCCCTGTGCGTCCTTTCGGGGCGCAGCGCTTCTGTGGCCAGTGTGAGCCCACTTTCTCCTCGTTAAGTAAATTGGTTCTCATCTGTGGATGCTGACAAGCCGGTAGAACGTCCGTCTGAGCTGCTGTGTGGCCGTGTTTGCTGAGGCAGAGTCTTTGGGTGTGTGAATCCACCGAGGGGCAGAGCTTATGGCCTTGGGCGCCTGCCATGCCTGATGACGCTTGCGTGGTATCAGCCAGCTTCTGTGTCTCAGGACTGAGATTGTCTAGAAGTTAGATTATCTTTAAAATGTATTTTGTTCCTGGAAGTAAGTTTGTTGCTTGTGAGACCTTGTGAGATACCGAATTAGTGAATGGTCAAGATTAGCTCCCTGAGGCTTTGAAAACAAATTTATAAGGATAAATCTCTTTATCCTCCTCTGCCACCCCCTGATTTAGACAGTTCTGGGTCTTGTTATATATAGCCTTCATTTTGCGGTCACATTTAAGTTTATACACAAATTACCTACTTTAAAAATTTTTTCATTGAAGTATCATTGATTTACAGTGTAGTGAAAACTACTAACTTTTTACTTTGGAACCATGCTTACTGTTAGCATTGGGCTTTTGAGCTTGGCCGGATAAACTGATCAGTTAAAGCTAGAGTGAGGACCAGCATCAGAATGCTGCCTCCTTGCGCTGGTCTCCTTTCTGTCTGAACAGGCCGTGGATGTTGGTGTCCCAGCTTGTTGGCTTGGTGCCCACAACCTCTGCACTGCCGTCTCTGTGTGGCGGGGGCTGCCGCTCTTAGTTCATCCTGATCTTTTATATTTTTTTTTCAGTGTATTTTTTTCAAATTTATTTTAACTGGAGGATAATTTATAATTATTTTAACTGGAGGATAATAATAATTTATTATTAACCAGAGGATAACTACTTTATAATGTTGTGTTGACTTCTACCATAGAAGAATGTGAATCTGTCATAACTAGACCTATATCCCTTCCCTCTGAGCCTCCCCCACCCCACCCCTTGCCATCCCACGCCTCTCGGTCATCTTTTATTTTTTGGTTCATTTTAAAATATATATATACATATTTTTTTATTGTTGTTAAAGAGCTTAAATTCACACAACATAAAATCAACCATTTTAAAGATAACAATTCATTAGCACTTATTATATTCATAGTGTTGGGCAACCACCACCTCTGTCCAGTTTCAACACAGTTTCAACCTTCAAAAAAAGACCCCATTAAAGTTCTCCCCATTCCTTCTTTCCCCAGCTCTGTCGGTCCCTCCAGGCTGTTCTTTCTCTGTGCTTTCAGCTATTCTAGGAATTTCAGAGAAATGGAGCCATCCAATATGTTGTCTCTTGTGTCTGGCTCCTCTCACTTGGCATAATGTTTTTGGAGTTCATCTCTGCTGGAGCATGTATCAGTACTTTTCTTTTAAATGGCTGAACTATCTTTCTAATCCATTTTCTTGATCTGTTTTTGAGTAGCATGTATTCTACAAACTAAGCTTAGAAAGTTTCTGCGTGATCAGACCATGTCTTTTTGTTCCCATTCCTCACCTGTTCTCCTTCCAAAGATCTGGCCTGTGTAGATTGATTGTACAGAGATACAGCCCTGTCTTTCCCTCGGGCCTGACCCCGTCTTTTTTCCATTTTGTTTAACTTCATAGTTGTGAGTTTCCCTGCTGACTTCTCATCAGACTCCTGGGGGCCCAGGCCTGCGTATGGCCCCAAGCCCTCTGTGACATGCGGCGCCCGCTTCACACAGAAAGATGCTGGGTGCTCGTCAGCCTGGTGGGATGCAGGCCTCACCTAGGGCAGGCAGCACCACTCACAGCGTGTCACTATTTTCTGTCTGTAATTGACTTGTGAATGCAGAGAAATACTCATCACGCATGAGGACACGTCGTATTTACCATGAGCACCAGTTGTCTTTAAAGCCCTTTCTGTCTAGGTGGTCACTCACAACCCCAGATGCCAACTAAGTTGTCAGGTAGGAAGCTCTGGAAAAGCACTCAGACTAATCAATATAAATCATTAATGATGGTTACAGGGATGACTGTAGATGACCATTCAGAAACCTTGAATATGAAGAAAAAACATGTGGTAAAATAGCACTTGATTTTCATATGTGAAGGACATATTAACAGAAAGAAAAAGCTTTCTCCTGAACGATAGCAGTTGTGGGGTCAATTTGCAACTGGCATATAAACGAAAAATTGACAAGTTATTGTGGTTTTAAGGAAATGAAAATTTTTTTTCTTTGAAGTGAAAATATTTTGAGACTAACATGAGGTTGAGGTGAAACTGTAAGATTCTTTAGAACTTATTTGAATGTTTCACAGATTTGTTATGTAGGATTCCTGACAGTGATATAATTTCACTTATTCCCTGAAGAATTGAAATTTCTATTACATGTTCATTAGGAATCTTTGAAAAGACTTATATATTAATACAGGGCTTCCCAGGTGGTGCTAGTGGTAATGAACCTGCCTGCCACTGCAGGAGAGACAGGAGATGTGGATTTGACCCCTGGAGGAGGGCATGGCAACCCACGCCAGTATTCAGGCCTGGAGAATCCCACAGACAGAGGAGTCTGGTGGGCTATGGTCTGTAGGGTCGCAAAGAGATGGACATGGCTGAAGCGACTTGGATGCACACACATAGCTTAATACAATATAAATCACCTAAATCTTTTAGTCTATACCACTGGCCCTCCTTAAGCAGGTACTATCTTTAGATGACTTTAAGCTAATATATGTTATACTGTAAAACTGTTATACTTTATCTGAATATTGAAAGTCAGTAATGCTTGTCAGTGCCACAAAACTCTAAACTTTTACTGACTTTAAAAAGTTGTAAATCTTCCAAAATATAATTTTGATTTTGTTTATGAGTCCTCCAGTGCGCACTGTTTACATTTTTAAAATTGATGTTTTTTTATAGCTGCAAAAGAAGGAGCTGGTGCTGTTGATGAAGAGGATTTTATTAAAGCGTTTGATGATGTGCCTGTAGTCCAGGTGAGTGAAGCTGGTTTGATTAAAAAGGATGGGCTTATTCTTCAGATTTCATTTTCAAGCATGTGACACGCAGAGTTTTTTACTAGGTAGGATAATTCTGACGATCAAGACCACAGGAGGTCTTAAGGTTGTAGACTAGGAAATGTTAGGGTCTCTGAGAGCTGAAATGAAGAGTGAAAGTCACGGCCCGGGATGACCTTCCAGTTAAAACTGGTGAGAAGTGGCTTGCTCCAGTAGTGAGTTCGTGAGTCAGGTCACACAAAAGAGGCGAAAATAAATGACTCCATTCCAAGAGAGAACAAAGAAGCATGCTTATGTCGGTATTTTCCTTAGAGAAGTCTGTAAATTTGAAGAATGTAGGTGTCTGAAAGGTATAAAAAATGTTTCCATAGAACCTTAGTTTATACCATCGTGATACCTGACACGTGAAGCAGAGATGACTTGCGGAACCGGGGCCCCGGCCACTCACTGTAAACTGCAGTGCGCCTCGGCATCGTCTCCTGCTGATCGGCTTGCGGCCCATCGGATGTCGTGCTCAGGATTCCTCCTGCACTTGATGCCCGTCTGTGTCCCTTGTTGCTGCCTGTTGCCATGTGTGTACAGAGCAGATAGCAGGTGTTTTAGGCTCAGGTTTATCCTTATGTCCTTGACCTTCCTACTGTGCCTCACTCTTGGTGGACTTTTTCCTCCCCTTGCTGTCTTTGGAGTAAGATAGAAGGATAAATGAGAAAATAGGTTTGAAAGTGTTTAGGGTTACAAGCATAGACAGGCCTTGCCGTATTGCGCTTCACTGTGTTGTGCTTTGTAAGTGCTGCTGTTTCACAATGGTCTGTGGCCACCTGGCCTCGAGTATGTGTACGGGGTCCCGTCCCCATCAGCGTTTGCTCACCTCGTGTCTCTGTCATCTTTTGGTAATTCTCACAACAGTTCAGCTCTCCATCAGCAAAAAAATCACAGTTCTCAGAAGACTCAGATGATGGTTCGCATTTTTTTTTTTAAGCAATAAAGGATTTTTAAATTAAAGTATGCACATGGCCTTTTTAGACAGTGGGCATACTTTAATTGGGCAGTTAATAGACGGCAGTCTGGGGAAATCTTTGTGACTCGCTTCATTGTGATACTCACTTGATTGCACCTGCAGTGCAGTGAGGACGCTAGAACTGACCTGGCGGTGTCTCTGAGGTCTGCCAGTATGGTGCGGTGTTAGAAAAAACAGATCAGCGACTTGGGCCTCTCTGCCCACTCCCCGCTGGGCTTCTTTCTTGGTTGTTCATGAAATCGTCTGTTATGGTAAAGCGGCATTTGAGGCACTCGCCTCCATATTCGGGCATCAGAGCTGGTGAGTTTACATTCACGGTGGAAACTCATTCAGTGGCAACCCTGCCTAGATGTTCTCTCAGAGGCCCTTTTCTGAAAAATGAAATGATTTCTTGTACTATACTTACCAGATGCTCTTGACTTCAGGTAATTAAGAAATAATCTTTGTTTATTCTGTAAATTTTCTCATATTGATTGTAAATTAATTTTGCTTACAGATTTATTCCAGCCGAGACCTTGAGGAGTCCATAAACAAGATTAGGGAAATACTGTCTGATGACAAGCATGACTGGGAGCAAAGAGTAAATGCCGTAAGCTGCCGGCTTCGTGTGGTTTTGTGTGATTTTGTGTGTGACTTTGTGTGATTTGCGTTTGCAGTAGATATTTAAATATTGTAAATACTTAATTATGAAATTGGGGTACAGCTGTAATGAAGTTTAAGTAGCCAGTACTTTAAATATAAGGTACCATATTCACAGTTTGCCTTTTTAGTAGATGACCTCACTTCTGTTCTTAAAACATGCCTACTTCTATCTTTTTGTGCATCTTGTACTTTGGCATGGCCACTACCCTCACCTTCGTAAAGGTTTAATTTTGCAATCCTTGGCCGGGGAAGTAGCTTCTCAGTGGCGTACACTGAGCGTCCCTGTCGCCCTTTCTTTCTTCATAGCACTTCTGTCCCTTCTGTTTTTAAAAGTACCTTAATGGCAGCCAGTTGTCCGAACATTAAAGTGAGCAGCATTTGGTGAAGGTGTGTCTTTTCTGGGGAAGGTGACTGTGTACTGGTTGGCCAGCAGGAAGCAGGTTGGGAACGTGGCTGCTGTCTGTTTTAGATGCCCTCCAGCCCGTCAGTAACAGGTGCAGTGTGGATACTGTGACCTCCAGTGGGGACGCTTCTTCCTGTGAAAGTGAAAGGCGCTCAGTCGTGTCTGACTCTTTGCAAGTCCATGGACGATACAGTCCATGGAATTCTCCAGGCCAGAATACTGGAGTGGACTGTTCCCTTCTCCAGGGGATCCCAGTTCCCTGTTTCCAACCCAGGGCTCAAACCCAGGTCTCCTGCTTTGTAGGCGGATTCTTTACCAGCTGAGCCACTTTCCTGTGATTCACTCAGTAAATGGTGGTTGGATGGGGTGTTGGGAAAGGGGAGCTTAGGGAAGGAGCTTTTTTACAGGCTACAGTGAGGTTTTAGTTATTTTTATCCTTAGTATCAGAGTGTCTGTAAATACGCTAAAATGTTCCAATTAAAAAATATATTTTGTAGAATTATAATGCATTTATCACAGATGCTAATTTTTAAAAATTATTTTTTCTTACTTATGATACCTAGATTTCTTCAGTATGTTAGCTGCTGTTTAGTTGGTCTAATTCTTCTTGGAAAACTGTATCATTTAACTTTATTGTTGATCCTTGAATATTTGTTGGCTTCCATTATTCTGTATTTTTGTTCTAAAGATTGTTTTGTCTGTCTCTTAATTTTTCTACCCCATTAGCTAAAAAAGATTAGATCTTTACTCTTGGCTGGTGCTGCCGAGTATGATAACTTCTTCCAGCACTTACGGCTTTTGGACGGAGCCTTTAAACTGTCGGCTAAGGATCTACGGTCTCAGGTCGTGCGGGAGGCTTGTATCACGCTGGGGTAAGGACTGCGACGCTCCCGGTTCTCACATGATAAAGTGGCTGTGTCACAGAGCTTCAGAGAGGGGTCACTGAATAACACATCCACCGGGGCTTTCCACATGCCTGTCGCCTGGTCTCCAAGGCTGATTCCATTTACACTCTCTGTTACACTTTGACAGTGTTTCCTGGCCAGTTATGTTAACACGTCATTGACAAAGGGGATTTTTGCAGAAAATTAACACCTGTGGCATCAGTACATCTCTGGTCAATAATGTGTTGTGTGACAGATTTTAAATTTTACTCAGTTACTTAACTCTGAAACCTCTGTTTTAAACTTGAAACAGTTATTAATAATATGGAAAAATGAAATCTTATAAACTTCTGTTCTCAGCCTTTTCATTGATTTTGTTGGCAGGATATAGCATGATAAATAGAAGTTTTGTTTGTTCTGGTTAAATTCAGTAGAAACGTGGCTTTGCAGCTGTTCAAAATTTTGACCTCAGATATTGAAGCCTGAATGTTATATGCTGAAAATAAAAGAGCAAAAGAAAAAAAAGAGGCTGAGGGTGCTTTGTCATATTTATGTTTTATTAGTATTTGTTTTTTTGCTATTTGAAGAGTAATTAGTGGGAAATTATTTATTTTTTAAAAAGCAGTTCTTCTGGGTGAGTGGCTATGTGTAAAGTCCTCTGCATGTGCTTGGGGAGTATTTGTATTTCACTTAGACTTGTTTTTGTCCTTAGATGACTTTATACAAAGGCTCTAAAATGTGAAAAGCTTTATATATTACACTGTTTCCAAGAACTTTGGTGACAGCCCGGTGCTCATTTCTCGTTACAGGCACCTGTCGTCAGTACTGGGGAATAAGTTTGACCATGGCGCTGAAGCCATCATGCCAACGATCTTTAATTTAATCCCAAATAGTGCCAAAATCATGGCCACCTCGGGGGTTGTAGCTGTCAGGTTAATCATTCGGGTGAGTGTGTTTTGGAGCCGTATGTGTTGTCTAGTAAGCAAGTGGTTAACATGGGTGGTGGGTAAGCAGTTACCAGAGGCGTTTCTCACTTGAGTGATTGTGTCTGTGGATCACACTGTCCGCACAATACTGCCCACCCCCCACCCCCCCACCATCCCTTGCTTCACTGTCACCTGTGAGCCTTTTCAGTTCCCTGGAGTGAATTTCAGGTGTGGTGTACAGTTACTGGCCTGTTGCTCATCCTCTCATCATTGGTTTCAAGCATTTGAGCACTTGTCCCTGCTTCTGAGTTCTGTGTGTGTCCAGCTATTACTCCTGTTCGTCCCTCCTTAATCCCCAGCTGTTCGTTTTAGGTATTTCTGCTTGTGGCTTTGTATTCATCTAGCATCTTTATGTAAATAATTGTACATAAGCCTAAAAACAAAGGTTATCTTCAGTTAAGTTTTCAAAGCGCTAATTTATCTAGTGTGAATAATTAGCCAAGTAATTTATATGCAGATTTTCAATAAAACCTAACAACTCACAAAGCCTTAAAGTGCAAGTTCTTCATATCACCTTCTCCACATGTCAAGTCCCTTTTCCCTAGAGGCAGCCCTCAAAACTGGGGCTTGATGATGCTAACTAAAATCTTCCCAGAATATTTGTGATTATTGTGGGTTACTTTCTTTGCATTATTGTAGTTCTTACTGTTTACAGTACCTATTTCAGATATTAAACCAAAAGCCGTTATTGGACATATCCATTGAAATGGTATTAAAATACATTGGTCTAATGACTGCTTTTTACTCACTTAGATCTCTACTGCTCAGATAGTTTAGGCTTCATACCAGTGATTAGTTTTGATTTTAGACTGACCTAACACACATCATCATGTTGTCTGTTTTGGCTCTGTAAACTTTGTCATGCCCTTTGTAAGTGTCCAGTGAAATTCTTTCTCCTTTTTAAACTCAGTAAGATTCTCTTCTGGATGGGTTAGGTGCTGTACATAGGAGAGAAGGAACTGACCGTCTCAGTTCTGTATTTTTAGTTGTTCGCCTCTGTCTTTTGCTCTTTCCCACAGCACACGCACATCCCAAGGCTAATCCCCGTCATAACAAGCAACTGCACCTCCAAGTCTGTTGCAGTTAGAAGGTAAACTTTTAATGAATTTTCTCATTATTTTTGAACTGTTTTAAAACCAAAACAAATTTTAAATTTCCCTCCATCTAAAAAGTTTATGTTTGAAATAGTTAATATTATTTAATATTGCTATAATAAGTGCCCTTGGATTGAAGGGTCATGATCAAAATTATGTGGACCGCTGATGTTATTTGTGTGTGTGAGGTGTTTAGGAGAGGTGGGATGGGGGCGTGTCCCCACATTCTTCCTGCTCTGGTCCCTCTGCCTCTGTCATTGGTCTACCCTGTGCCCTGATGAAGGCAGTAGCTGCCTGCCTGGAAAAGACATTGTAAAAACGAGTGGTAGTTACTTACATCAACATAGGAGGAGGAGGTGTATGTTGTCTGCAGCTTCTGATGTGGTTCTGGGGGTTCTGCTGTGCTGTGCAGTGAGGGGAGGTGGACCCCGAAGGTCAGCCTGAGCAGCCAGCGGGGCTTCGTCTCAGGTCCACGTGAGCTGTCCCAGCCTGTGTGTGATGTCAGGACTCTGTGCTGCTGGCTGGGGTCTGTGGGGTCTGGACTGGTGACTCCACAGTCTTTCAGATCGTGAAATGTGTGGGCTCTCTTCCCAGGAAAGTGTAAGTACACAGAAGTTTTACGTGAGTTTTCAGACAGTTCATGGACTGAAGCTTGTTGGTGGACCAGATCAGGGGCGTTATGGGGTAAATTAATGGCAGACCTAGGCAGCAGCCTTCTGGCCCCATCCCTGCAGTTCTGGGTTGCGATCCAGCCCAGCAGGAGGGCCCATCACTTCATGGCTGCCCCTGCTTCTCTCCTTTCCTGGGCTGGCACATTGGACCCCCCCCCGCCCCAGGGTTTCTCAGGCGCAGGGGTCTTTCTGAGCATGAAGCAGCCCCCATCACCATCTTATTAACAGCCATGTGCAAGGCAAGAGAAAAGAGAAGGGGAATGAGCTGGCTGTGTAAGTCAGGAAGAAAGACGTGTTCTTCCACTGAAGAGGCTTAATTTCCAAAAGTGTGGTTCAGTGGCATGGCTGAGGAGTGAGGTCAACCACTAACCCACAATCCAGCCCCCCTAGAGGGCAGAGCAGCTCCAGCTCCCCAGAGACGAGAGTGTGGAGCTGGCAAGGTGGAGGCTGTTGGTGGATTTCCCACATACCTGGGGACAGAGTTGTCCTGCGGATCCACAGTGACTTAGGTAGAAAGGGCTCAGTGTTTGGTGGAAGCTTAATGGATGGTGGCCACCATGAGAAGTTACTGCTGCTGCTGTTACATTGTCAGTGCAGATTGAGGACTCCAGGAGCAGTCTGGAAAGTGTTTCCTTTGTGAAAGGCAGCGAGGTGGCACACATCTCTGTGGGGAGCGTTATAGGATGCTTAGTGTTTTAGCTGACTTAGGCTGCATAACAAAAATACCGTATATGGAGTGGGACTAAACAACAGAAATGTATTTTCTCAGTTCTGGAAGCTGGAATTCTGAGATCCGGGTGCCAACAGGTGGGTTCTAATGGGAGTAGCTTGCAGATGGCTGTTTTCTTGCTGTGTCTTCATGATACAGAATGTGTTTGTGTGTGTTTGTGTAAGAGAGAGAGCTCTAGTGTTTCTTCTTACAGGGGCCCTAATCCTAAGAGCATCACTTTCATGACCCCATGTGAACCTAATGACCACCTGAGGGCCTCATCTCCAAATACCATCATACTGGGGTTTAGGGCATCAATATGAGAGTTCAGAAATGACAGAATGACACTTTGGTTCCTAACATGTAAAAATTCTAGCCTGTGGTGCTCGGTGTGAGTAGCAGCATGCAATCACCATGACAGTGGAAATGCCACCCCCTTCACCAGCTTCTTAGCCACACACCCAGATTGGCATTCCTGTATGTAGTCAAAGTGAGTCATGTGTCTTAATGCTGAAAAGAATACTAGGGACCATGCCTTCAGAAGGGAAAAGAGAACAAGAAGGCAGCGTAACAAAGGCAGTGGTTTCTGTTCAGTATTCAGCCAGTACCTAGCTTTGCTTCATAGAATTTGTAAGAAGTGAATTGCCCACTCTCCCTTTCCTGTAAGAAGTTTATAATTTAGTTGGAGGTATTAAAAACAATAATGCAGAGCAATGTAAGAGTGAATTACAGCGTACATATCTTATGGGTTTAGGCATTCAGAGAGCACTGATCAGAACTAGCTGATGGACCTCTTTGGTGGCCCGTTGGTGGGACTCCACCTGCCACTGCCCGGGAACGGGCTCAGCCCCTGCCTGTGTACCACAAGCACTGAACCCATGTGCTGCAGCTGCTGGAGCCTGCCTGCTCTGGAGCCCGGGCCCTGCCGCAGGAGGAGCCTCTGCAATAAGAAGCCCACGCACCCCCTGCTCACCGCAGCCGGAGAACGCCCACCCAGAGCAGCAGAGATCCAATGCAGCCAAAAATAATAGAATAAAGGAAGCCAGCCTTATTAAACAAACAGACTAGCTGATACACTTCCAAGGAGCCTCGTAGACAAGTTAAAAAAAAAACGGAGTTGCTTTTTGAACAATGAGCAGTAGTAGGTGAAGAAGAGAGACAAGATCTGACCAGATGTGCTGAAGTAACGCGGTATTTAAACAGTGCCAGTTTTGATGTACTTCCCTATCTGGTTTTAGTCTAGAAAGTTGAAAACAAAGCCTAATTTACAGGGGATGCATGCATGCTGCCTGCTTCAGTCGTGTCCAACTCCTTGCAACCCTATGGACCATAGCTCGCCAGTCTTCTCTGTCCATGGGATTTTCCAGGCAAGAATGCTGGACTGGGTAGCTCTGCCCTCCTTCAGGGGGTCTTCCTGACCCAGGGATCGAACCTGCATCTCTTATGCCTCCTGCATTGGCAGGCAGGTTCTTTACCACCAGCACCACCTGAAAAGCCCTTACAGGGGATATTTTTTATTAAATAGATCGTTTTGAAATTCATTGAAGATAAGAATTAGTACTAAAGATGAATGTATCCACTAAGAAATAAATATTAATAAATATGAGCATATATACACACACATTAAAGGGAAGAAAAATCCACACCAGGAAATGACATGGAGCAGAGGGCAAAGGTAGCATGCCCATGGCCTGGGTGAGGGTGGGCACAGGGATGCTGAGAAAGGGGTGTGAGCAGAGGTCCGCATCTGTCCTGGAGAAAGTCTACTCGCAGCCCCAGCGCTGAGCTGAGGGGCTCCCAGGGCTCTCCCGGGGCCCTGTGCTCCGGGCACACGGTGCTGTTTCTTGTCTGTCCTGCTCGCTGGATTGTGTCTCAGTTCCATTGTGTGTGCAGCGTCTAGCATAGGGTAAGGGTTTATTAAAGATACATTGAATGAGTAATTGTGTGCATTATGAGATTTTTAATTGGGACGATCATGGGAAAGAAAGTTTGATCATTAGAGAAAGATTGCCTTCTGATTTGTTTCCTTGAATGGGTTCCTTAAGTCTAATAATATTTATTCCTACAAAGATAGTTATTCTGGAATTTAGGAAAAGGAAATGATGAAGAGGTAGGCTCTGAAGTGGTGGTATAACCCAAGGGAGATTAGTCCAGCATTGTTTTTTTGTGTGTACACTCAGGCCAAGAAAGATCACAGAAGTGGAAAGGTTTGAAAAGAAAGAATCTTGAAAGATTGAAGAGAGGAGACTGGCTGAGTAGCTAGAGAAAAACCCATTTTAAATACTTGGCAGGAAAATTTGGTAAACACTTTGTTCTCCAGGGTATTTTTTACTTTCTTTGTAGAAAGCATTCTTTGAAATTAATGCAAATACTTAATTCCCTGATTTTTTAATGTATGCTGATCTTTTGTGCCTGTGTAGCTCCTGTATTAATGTATTATTTGAGGTAGAATAAAAAAGCACATGGCAATGACACACCTGTTCAGTGACATTGCTCTGAAGCTCAGGTTTCTGATCTGAAGGATACTCTTGTATCCTGTCCCTGTATCCTCGTGATTATTTTTTTTTTTTTGACCACCATAGGTGCTTAATTACTTTGATTTGCTTTGGTTTTCAGTCAATTTTGATTCCATTTTTATGTTCCATTTTTTTGAATCATGAAAATTAGAAGAAATTTGCTGATTATAAAAAGGAGCTTTGGGTCACTTAAGGAAAAGCTATTTTCGTAAACAGGCAAATGACATATTTTTCTTTTCTCAATTTTCAGGCGCTGCTTTGAATTTTTAGATCTACTTTTACAAGAGTGGCAGACACATTCACTGGAGCGGTAAGCATCTGGTTTGCTGGTTCTCCCTCTGAATTGAATCTTGAGTTCAGTGTCTCAGCTGGTGATCCAGCCCGCTCTGTGTGAGAAGTGAAGGAATCAGGGCATTTGTTTGCGTGGGAGCTGGTGGTGTTTCTCCTGCAGTGAGGCACAGGCCACGGGCAGGGGCGCGTGGTGAGTGCCTCTGACTGTCACGTTAGCCTGGGCTTGTGGACAGGGTGCCCCGGGACATTGCACAGCCAGGACTCACTGCATTGACTCTGGTCTGCCCCCTGACATCCCGTCGGTCCCAGCCAGGTAAATGCTTATGGCTGCTCTTAGTAGGTGAGGGGTAACTTGAAAATCCTTAAAGGGATTTCACTCATTTGAAAGGTTCTCTTTTTGATCATTTGTATCAGAAAATCCACAGTTTTCTCTTTATTCAGGCTGGTGTGTTTCAGATCCTCGTGATAAAATGTAGGATTACCCCAGAATTCATAAAGAAGCTTGTCTTTATTTTGACAAGCCATTTTTAGTTCCTGTCAATTTTATGTGCCTGTTATTTTCTCTGAGTTAAGTTTGGAGATGACAGACAGTGATCCTGTGCCACTCAGTGTCTAGTGGTGTGTTGCACAGTCGTGAAGAACTTCACAGCATCTTAGACATGTTATGGGAGGAGGAAATGGCAACCCGCTCCAGTATTCTTATCTGGAGAATCCCAGGGACAGAGGAGCCTGGTGGGCTGCCGTCTATGGGGTCACACAGAGTCGGACACGACTGAAGTGACGTAGCAGCAGCCGTAGACGTGTTGTGAGTAGTGGACTTGAACATGTAGAGCTCTCCTGGAGTCCAGTTCACTCCTGCAGGCCTCACTTTGCATCTAGAAGGTAGTCACACATTTCAAAAGTATTTTGTTGTTCTTTGATCTTTGGGCTATTATACCCTCTTGATCTGGTGATAGTATTGGGACTTAGAGGGGAAGATGGAATGAGGGATTGAACGTGGGGACAGGTGAGCAGGACAGAAAATGAGGACGCACTCAGCTGTGGTCTCCAGTGTTTGCTCGCTTTGGCACTGGGCCGCTTCTCACCAGGGATTTACTGAAGGAGTGAAGGGATGAGGCAGGGAGTCTGATGCTGGTAAAATGGGTACCTGCTGTTTGTCCTGTGAAATTATTCAGTTATTGGCCTTTTTCTTCAAACTATTCAGTATTCAATGAGAGAGTTTTAATGGTATCTTCTTAGCTAGGGTAGAACCTAACTGAAAAGAACACCTGTATATGAAATGTTTACATCATTTCATAAAATAGTTCATATCATATAGTGGAAAAACATTCTTTAATTATAGAGACGTGATGCAGAAAGCCTTTTCAGTGTTAAGTGTTTAAGTGTTATTATTATCTCATTATAATTCCCATAGAAACCTATTATGACCATGGAAAAGTAGGATTTTTTTTGTTTGTTTGAGTTCATAAAAGATTGAGCTAAGTAAGTATGGCCTGAAAAATACCAGTCATCACTAAAGAAAAGAATCCCAGGAGAGGAGAGTTATGTGTGTCTGTTCATGGGGAAGGGGTGGGATGGAATCAGAAATTAATTAGCAAATGTGCTGGTTTTCTAGGCTGCGTGTTTGTCAACTCTGTGGGCACAAAGGTTCTACCTTCCACGTTGCCATTTTGAAGTTATTTCTCACAGCTGTTTTTATCTACATAAGACTGTGTATTAATGATGTACTGCTTTCATTTCTAACTATACAGACACATATCAGTATTAGCTGAAACGATAAAGAAGGGAATACATGATGCTGATTCAGAAGCAAGGATAGAAGCCAGAAAGTAAGTGTTTGGTGAACACCACTTTCTTAAGTCATTGCTTTTCTATTTCAGGTCCACTGTCTAGATTGCCTTATAAAAGTTCATTAAGTCACATGAACATGGCTTGTTAATCATAACTTTGTTAATGTGACCCAAAAGACCATTTCAGAATGTTTCTCTAATTTTTTGTTTCAAAGGTTGTGGAGTGCCCAGGCCTGAAAGCCTGATTGGCACTATTTGAACATAAATGGGACTGACGTGGACAGCAGAAAAAGCTCATTTTAAAATTTATGCGAAATTATCCCATGAGCCAGAAAAGCACTTGTCTCCGTGTCCCATGTCTTCTCTTGCTCACCCAGCTCTGTCAGTCCCCAGTGGCTTGTTGATTTACCGTGAAAACTCCCCATCACGGGGATTCTTACCCGGGGACCACGTCTCTGCCAGGGTCAGGTGGGCGCCTGGGAAGTGGATGAGGGTGGCTCGGGCTGACCGCAGGCTGCAGCTCACTGCCCTGCTCACATTTGGAGTCATTGTACCACTGGGACTGGCTGTGATGCGGCCAGGAGCGTGTGGCCCCCACACCCCCTGCCTCTCTGGGGGTCATCACGCCATCCTGACTGTAAATAGCAGTTTTAAGTCTGATGCTCAGATGTTCCCTCAGACAGAACAAAGATACACACTTCCCGTGTTGCTTTGGGGCTGTTTTTCTCTGTGTTCCTTCCCGAACGAGTGACTCAATCAGGAATGGATTTGTTAATGATCTACTTGTGCTCTTTTTGTCCTTATTTTACATTTCGTGTCCCCCCCCCCCCATTTTTTTCTAGTTTTTTAATCATAACACAGTATACCTTTCAAGTGGTTGTGAGCATCGTCCTGTTTTTGTGTTCTGCCGTTTTAAATACTTTGAGCCAGTGTCACATGCGTTTTGCTTCCACGAACCAGCCCCTCACATCCTAGGGGCAATCCTAGATGTTTTAGCTCTGTCTTCCCTAGTCTCCCCAGTCTTGCAGGTTGGACTCTTTGACGTCCATGTTCTTAATGAGGCCGAGGGTCAGACAGATGGAGTGGCTCGCCTGGAGTCACCGAGCCAGTCGGCTGTGGGTGAGGAGTCACAGCAGCCCTCCTCGCTCCACTCACTGCCTTGTGCCGCCGCGGCTGCTGGCCCCGGAGCTGAGGTCCGCCCCTGCCGGTGTCCTGGGCTGCATGCCTGTGCGCCCTGCGGCTGGGGACAGGAAGCCCATGTTTTCCAGGTGTTACTGGGGTTTCCACGGTCACTTCAGCAGGGAGGCAGAGCACCTGTACCACGCGCTGGAGTCCTCCTACCAGAAGGCCCTGCAGACCCACCTCAAGAGCTCGGACAGCGTGGTGTCGCTGCCACAGTCGGACCGCTCATCCTCCAGCTCCCAGGAGAGCCTCAAGTAAGCGCCGCTGCCGCGCTTCTGCCTGTGTGGGGCTCACGGCGAGAAGTTGGCTGCCTGAGCACGTGGGCCAGCACCTCGTCCTCTTGGATGCATGTACGCCTGTTATCATTTCCCCCTTAACTCAGATGGAGCCTAGTGCTGGGGAAGATGCTGTGGGGCGTCGTAAGAAACAGGTGGCCCGGCCCGTGGTCCTGGGTCCCTGGTCCCTGCCACAGGCGGTTTGTAGTGAAATGTGCGTCTCAGTCCTGGCACAGTTTTGGAGTAACACAAGCAGAAGCAGATTGCGCCAAGTGTCTTCTAAGAGAATATAGGCGTTAACTTGGACACAGCTTTGGAAAGGGAGGGCATTCAGACCCTGGGACTGAATGTGCTACCGTCTTCATTCTTTATTTCTCTTTTCTAAGACTTCTTGCCATGTGTTTGAAAGTAGTCCAAAGCACGGTACTAAAGCTTTTCTGAAATTGGGAATTTTTAAGATTGTGGTAAAGATTACCTGTAGAATTCTGAGAAGTCTGAAATAATTCTTGGTGATCATAATTTCCCATTGTATATTTTACCTGTATTAATGCAGATACAATGCACTTTTGATTATAGATGTGTTCCTTTATTTTCAGTCGGCCGCTCTCTGCCAAAAGAAGTCCTACTGGCAGTACCACCTCCAGAGGTGAGATGGGCACCGTGGGGAAGGCTTCCTTGTCTGAGCCTGGGGTGGGCTGAGCGGTGGCGGGACGCCAGCTACTGCTCCCAGGTCTGCGGAGGGTCTGCCCTGTTTCACGCTCCCACGTTCCCAGCAGAGCAAGGACAGCTTGTCAGGGTGACTCGGGCAGGCAGCCCTGTCCGTCTCACCCCCCACCCGCTGTACTTGGTGCTGCCATGGGGCGTGTGTGTGTTTGAGAGAGAGAGAGAGAGATACTTCTGGGCTCTGAGCACTGGCTGGGATGCTGCAGGCACCCGGTGCGTGTGCGTGTGCGTGTGCGTGTGTGTGTGAGAGAGAGAGAGAGAGAGAGATACTTCTGGGCTCTGAGCACTGGCTGGGATGCTGCAGGCACCCGGTGCTGTCATGGGGCGTGTGCGTGCGTGTGCGTGTGCGTGTGCGTGTGTGTGTGTGTGTGTGTGAGAGAGAGAGAGAGATACTTCTGGGCTCTGAGCACTGGCTGGGATGCTGCAGGCACCCGGTGCTGTCATGGGGCGTGTGCGTGTGTGTGTGAGAGACAGAGAGAGAGATACTTCTGGGCTCTGAGCACTGGCTGGGATGCTGCAGGCACCCGGTGCTGTCATGGGGCGTGTGCGTGCGTGTGCGTGTGCGTGTGTGAGAGAGAGAGAGAGAGATACTTCTGGGCTCTGAGCACTGGCTGGGATGCTGCAGGCACCCGGGACCTGGCATCTTCGGGGAGTGGGGATGGGGATGTTCCCTGAAACTGGGATAGGGGGTCGTGTGTGCCGGGGGTGGAAGGGTGCCTTCACACCCCCTCAGGAGGACACTGGCCAGATGCAAGTGAGTTTTCATTGTTTCGTTACTCTTGTGGATCAGAGCTGTGGTCCATTTCTGTGGGATTTATGGTTTTGGTTACGAGGTGTGTGGAGTTTTCGTCACTTCTCCTTCCCTTCAGCACCAGTTGAGCTCTGCCGAGTGACCAGGAGCGCTGTTGGACAGTGCTGTGTACTCCAACCTTTGTGAAAACTTGATGTTTGTTTTCAGGAGAAGCAGGACACACTCAGCCCTGTGTGCTTGAAGGTCTAGTAGCAGCCCTTAGTCCTTGCTAAAGCTCACTCCTCCCCCTGCAGCTTCCACGGTCAGCACCAAGTCCGCATCCACCGCGGGGTCCCTGCAGCGGTCTCGAAGCGACATCGACGTGAACGCAGCCGCCAGCGCCAAATCCAAGATCTCCTCGGCTGCCGGCACAGCGCCCTTCAGCTCGGCCGCGGCCTTACCTCCAGGCTCGTATGCGTCCTTAGGTAACCAGACCCCCGAAACCCTTCCCCACAGGTCTGCCGTTCGAGACGACACTTAGCCTCAGATTAGATTGATTTACAGAGCAAATGACCAGAAACTGCAACTGAGGCAGGCCTCACGGTTGCAGGGCTAATGTTCAGAGTTAAGTGACCCTGTGTGCGGACTGCTGGTGTACACTCTCGGGTGAGTGTCCTCTCTGCTGGGGCACCCGTGGTGCGTCCCTCTGTGCATCCAGCATCCCAGTCTCCTCCCTTGTGGCCAGAGCTGGGTTTCCTCCCCTCCTGTCCTGGGATGGGGTGCAGAGCCTGACTGTCCGGGAGGCTTTGCCTGGAGTGGGCACAGGGAGCGGGTAGCAGGGAGCCCCAGAGGGGCAGGAGGACTCCCTGAGCAGCGAGCAGGAGGACTCCCTGAGCAGCATGGCCGATCCCACGGAAGGGTGTTGTCGGTCCCCCTGTGTCACCTTGGGAGGAGCGTGCACAGACTCTAATGATGGCGCAGAAGATTTCAAAAATTACTTTCAGAAGAATTAGTGTCTGATAGCATGGTGGACTGGACACCTGTTATAAGGCTTATAGTTTATTTCAGTTTATTTTTGTTAAAGCAGAGTTGTTCAAAGCCAAAGTCTAGAGACTTAGCAGGATTCGTTTTATTTTGGATTTTAAGGAAATGAATGTGATTTAAGCTTCATGAAACATCGAGACTTAACTGCTCCTGTGGTTTACAAACTAATCCCAAAGTCAGTTCCACAACTGATACCTGAGACCACGGGAGCAGAGTGGGAGAACACCAAGCAGAAGCTGGTGAGCCTGACCAAGCCAAGCAGCTTTTGGGTCTGCTTCCTCCACCCGTAAATTAGCTACGGCTATTAAATTATAGCCACCTGGTAACATGTGGTAGTGACAAATGAAATTATATAGAAGTCTTTTGTAAACTGTCGTCCTATAAGACGAAGGAAACTGGCTATGAGGGGAGCATGGTTAGTTTAGAAGGTCAGGTTTATAGTCTGGGATGCTGTGAGAGCAGTCTCGTCTTCTCTGCAGAAGTGTCTTGCTGAGATTGGGAACATAGCCAGTAAGAGCTCTCCTTTTATGTTGTTTATTTAACTGTTTCACCATCACGTAGGTGTGTTTAGGCTCTTGTGTTGATGTGTGATCACTGAGCAAGAGAGAAGTCAGAAGTCTGTCCTGTGTGAAGGCTTTCTGTTCGTTTTAGTTCTGTTTGATCCACCTTGAGGATCTTTAGTTAGTGTTTGCTTCATTGTTTGAAAACTTGAGTTAAGTCACAGTAGTCCTTGTTTTTCTGTGCGTACTAAAGCTGTTTTAACTTGGCCCTGTGGGCTCCACTTGGTGCTTATGAAAGTGCTCGAGTCTTCTGGTCTGATGACACAGAACTGACCCTTTAGAAGCGCTGATGATGAACGTTCAGCCCAATGTTACCTTTTCAGATGATGAGACTGGAGTATTCCCTACTCTCCATCGCCTGAGAGCTTGACCTCAGCTTTCCTGATGTCCAGATGTAAAAACCAAGCAAAATCAGCCCCCCAGTTTAACACAGTCCTGCTGAGAAGCTGTTACAGGTCCTACTGAGGTGGACACGCCATGTCTGTGCAGGAGTGTAGTGTTAAAGCTGATGGTCCTTTTCCCAACTTCTAGAGTCCAGACACACGAGGGGAGACACGGAGCCCCTAGGCCTCGACTCAGGTACCGAGCTGGACGTGTGGCTGGGCTGGGTGCTGCTCTGCCAGCTTCCGGGGCTGCTGACTCACTGCCTCTGCCCTCAGGATGTCTGTAGTTCCCCCCGTTATCCTGCTAGTACAATACTTGGTTCCAAGAAAAAGGGACTCTTCAGAGGATGAGAGAAAATGAAACTGAAAGTTGCTCAGTTGTGTCCGACTCTTTGCAACCCCATGGACTATAAAGTCCATGGAATTCTCCAGGCCAGAATACTGGAGTGGGTAGCCTTTCCCTTCTCCAGGGGATTTTCCCAACCCAGGGATCGAACCCAGGTCTTCCGCATTGCAGGCGGATTCTTTACCAGCTGAACCACCAGGAAGCCCAAGGAGGATGAGGTTGGCCAAATCAACAACACAGTCCCTCCGCCAAGGCCTGACCCTGGGTTGTCCTTTCATGTGGTGTTTTCTGAAGGCAAAAAGCACATTCTCCTAAGCTGGTTTCAATAGAAGGTGCACTTACTTGCTTCAGACTGTGCTTTGCTGTTGAACTTGTTTCCCTTTTAATTTTATTTTAAATTGTACTTTTGCTTTTTTGGTAGCTAATAATAACATTCTGCTTTTTAATTTTTTTGATGTTACTAACTGTTCCCTGTTATCCCTTCCCTTGTTTTTTTAATTTGCTTAAAGATGGTACTGCCACTAAAGCGGAGGGTAAGCGGTTTGTCTCTGTGACGAGGTGTGTCCCCACGCTTGTTGCCTGGCGCCCGCGCCCTCCCTGGGGTCCCTGCATGACACGTTGCACGTGCTTCCCGCCACGCTCCTCCTCCTGTCTCCACTGGGTCTTGCCTTCCCTCGACCTGAGCGCTCCCCTCCTTCCCCGTTCAGTCATTGTGCTTGTGGATTTGGGCTCCAGTGTGCTATCCACAGCGTGTCACTCTGAGCCCACGCTGGGCGGCGCATCCCTGCGACCTCGGAGGTGACTCATCTCAGGTTTTGTCACTCCTGAAGCACCACCTCCACGTGATTCCTCCTCTTCACTTTGTGCTTTTGTTGGCCTTTCAGGATTGACCTTTCTTTCCTCTTGTAAACATACGTTTCAGTGTCAATTGGCAATGCAGGTTAAAGGCTGGTAAAAGTTTTTTAGCAGGTAATTTCTAGACGTTTAAAAAAAAATTCTTTTTCTCCCCTGAAGCTACTGAATTATATGATACTGTTTCTGTTTGTCTCACTGACTCCAGCCCCATTCATTCATGTACTCTTCATTCATCCACTCAGCAACCTGGGTTAAATGCCTTCTCTGTGCTGTGTTCTCTGGGACACACAGGAGCATAACTGGTGGAAGAATTACACATCTCCACATCCACTTGGTTTTCTCTTTCTGTTGATCTCAAGAGGCTCTTTCTGATGTTTGACTCTTTTGAATTTTAGACAGAGCTCTTCCTGTCAGTACAGGTCTTTGAGTAGCACCTGATAGACATGATCAGCTTTGCAAAGTCTCTAGATAGTAAGCATGATGTTTCAGATAATTGAAATACAGAATTACCTCATTTACGTAAGGTAATGGCTTAGACTCAGCAACCCTCAGGATAGTGATTTAACAATTAGGAACTGCTAGATTAAGTTCCTGCATTACAGTTAGCTCCTCTAAAGGCCAGCCAGCAGAGTAGACTGGGTTTTATCTCGAGATGTGCAGCTCACAGTGCTTTTAATTCATACACTACTTTCTAAGAAACTCACAAAGGAAAAATTGGAATGAAATTTTTAAAAGACATATAGTCTCAAGATCAATGTTCTTCAGTTTTATCTCATCATAAAATTCTGGAATCTTGCTTACAATAGCAGAGTCCTAGGTGCTGCCCTTTGAAAATTCTGATGAAGTTTGGAACAAGCAAGGAACCTGAATTTTCGACAAGCTCCACTGACGGTTCTTGGAGTTGGATAAGCTTTTGAAATGAGAAGTTTCCAAATGAAAAATGGACAAAAGGCCTGTGGCACGCTAAGGCCACCATTTGTGATAGAAGACTGAGGCTAGATGTGATTTTCTTACATTTTTTAGTTGAAACAAGTCATTTTATGATTCTCCTTCTCCAAGAAAGGCTCTTAAGTATTTCCTCAGCCTGGATGGACAGGGAGTAGAGTAGGGTACAACAGCAACGCAGATGAGACACAAAGTCAGAGACTTGATGTGGGCATTTCCACAGTGTTTGCAGGGCATCCTGGTTGGTTTCATATCCCTCTTGGAGAGAATGGAAGTCAGCCTGTAAGTCCCCCCAGCAGTGGAGATTTTACACTTTTTTTTACCCTTCAGTTTTCTTTTACCTGTCCAGTAAGGTCAGAGGGTTGCTTGCTCAATTATTGTGCTGAATGCTGAGGACAAGAAGTCTCTTTCCGATCCTCCTCCTGGTAGGAAAGTGGAGGATGATCTGTGGGCCCTTAATCGTACAGAATTCAGAATTCCATGTACTTCGGCCTTGGTCCCAGGGCCATCCTGGCTGGTCAGAGCCTCCAGCCTTGTGTGATGATGAGATGGAAAATAGAGGCCATGGGAGCCCTTTCAGCTGTCATTTCTGTCTCTTTCAGCTGTGAATTTTAGCAGGCTGCTTAGAAAAGCTCCATACACAGCAAACATAATTTAGCATCTTGTCAAGAGTTTCCTGTCTGAATTTTTAGGATCATTTTGAGTCTTTTGAAAATTTGTTAATATGTGCATTGAGTATATTACTCTCTGTTTCGGTAGCTCTTAGGACAAGCACTAGATACTTGCAGCAGGAGGCAGAAATTTAAATTGGTAGTTGGAAGCTCTGAATTCAAAATTCAGACTACACATTTAAAGTCTGGTGACTCCCTTGTGATAGTGATTGAGAAAAATAAATATTCTCTGGGGGGTTCCTTATCACACACATGAAGTAGCTATCCTGATATTTATGACTAATCAAAAAATGTTTTTTGTGAAGAATTCAAAGCTCAACTTTTGGACAAAGTTTATTTCCAGGTTATCTTTCAGTGTGTTATGTTCAGTGACTTGGAGGATTTGGAAGAAGAAAACATTGATATTATCTGTTATGCCATTTGTGAGAGAGTTTATAATCAGTCACCACTGACCCCTGAACAGCATGGGTTTGCAGCGTGTGGGTCCACTTGTAGGTGGGTTGTTTTCAACAAGCATGCAGTCCTGCACGGTCTGCACTCATCTGATCAGCAGATGTGGAGGCAGCTGTGGGACTTAGCATCTGTGGACTGGCACATCCCCAGCAGGCACAGAGGCCCCTGCAGATACTCAGCTTAGGAAGAAAGTGATCGATCGCATCTTCTCATTGCTTGCTTTTTTTT